AATAATAATAATGAATTGCTCAGGTGGGCTCCCTCAAACTCTCTGCCTTGTGATGTCACTGTTGCTTCCTTTTCTGTGGTGCTAAATGCTGTTGCTCACCGGTAGCTAGTTCTGTCTTGGGTCTAGTAATTATTCATCTTTTCTGTTCTGGATCTGATGATCGGTAATAAACAGGAAAGTTATAATGTGGTTTCCTTTGTCTTTAACATGGTGAGGTATTTTCTACTGTTTCAGTATATTTGAGATGTCATATACCATTGAACTACATTTCTCTTATGATTCAGTAGAGGTTAGGTGGCCTTTTTTCCTTTTGGTGGCTTGTCTCTAGACTCAGACACTTTGGATACTGAGTGTTTTGAGTTCCTGTACTTTTGACCTTCATCCTTTTTTAATATCATTAAATGGTGGGAGCAGCTTTTTTGTTTTTAATCTTGGATGGAAGATAATTCCAAAGTGAAATTTTAATGCAATCTCATGATATTAACCCCGTGCACTTTATGTTTATGCAGGCAGAGGCTGGATTTGATGCGAGAGATGTATGACAGGGCAGGTGAGGTGGCCTCGGGCGCCCAGGATGAAAGCGAAGCCACTGTGACTGGCAGTGATCCGTTTTATGACCGGTTCCATTGGTTCAAACTGGTAGGAAGGTACGTGATGATTTCATCAATGTCTTCTTTTTAAATAGTGAATGATTTTGTTTAAAACCTCAGCAGATACTACAGAAAGTTCTGTAAAGAAAAAGTGTGCAAAAATGCTCCACGTATAATCTCATCCACTCAGACGCAGCCAGTGTGTCACCTGGTGTGCTTCCCTTTGTTTTATTCAGTGTGCGCACTTAAGTCTCATCTTTCATCCAGAGTAATTGACAGCCTTTCCTGCCTCTTACAGTTGAAGAGGATAAATTTAAAAGAAAAAGAAAGCCTATGTCTGTATGTTGCACAGTTTAAAATCATAGTATGACTTACAGCTTACCAGCTTGCAACCTCTCCTTGATCCAGTGTCTCCTCATTTTTTTTAAGGCAATTTAATCTCACATTAGTCTTTGCCAAGGGTGAGCCAAGTGCATATCTTGACCATATGCCTGAGCCTCCTTTGTGTATACATGAATCCCAACATGTAATGAAAACAGGTAGTGCCCCTGTGAATCCATACTGAGTCCAAGTTCTTAGAGGTTTAGAATTTAAAAAGCAGAGACATGTAAGTTTTGAGCTTAATGATTTCGGGATTTGAATTGTTTTTCAATTGCAAAATTTTTCTGACCATTTTTAAAGGAACTAGGAAGAAAGGAGGAGCTGAAGTCACAATATTTTGTAGAAATGAAGTTAAATCTGTTCCATTTCACTCTGATAGTGGAGTGTTTCTAAAGAGTTGAATTGGCCAAACACATCTTATCCAAGCAAGGCACGTACTTGCTTTGCCATATACCATTCCATCCATTTTGTTTTCTGCTCCGAGATGACATGGGAACTGGAATAAACTGGAATAAAGATCACCTTTTTTATTTCACCAAATGTTGAGTGGCTCCTTTGAGGCCTGGCTGCTGATCTTTTGTGTGAACTGGAAAATATAAACATTTTTACAGCACACTATTTACCTGGGATCTGGATCTTCTACTCATGTATTTCCTTTGCTTTTCTTATTCTAAGAACCAGTCCTTATTTCCTTTCACCTGAACCAGATGTTTTATGCTCATTTTATCCTTTTGCTTTTCCACTTGCTTTTATTGTGTTGATTCCCCAGTGGGTTCTGTCCTGTTGACACATATAGCTTCCTGTTTAACCAACTATTCCTCTCTCCTTCCTTGGCTGTGTCCCTTGGCGTCTTCCCTGGTGTCTAGCTCCCCCATTTTCCACGGCTGTGTGAATGAGCGCCTTGCTGACCGCACACCCTCCCCCACTTTTTCCACGGCCGATTCCGACATCACTGAGCTGGCTGACGAGCAGCAAGATGAAATGGAGGATTTTGATGATGAGGCGTTCGTGGATGACACCGGCTCTGACGCAGGGACGGAGGAGGGATCAGATCTCTTCAGTGACGGGCATGACCCATTTTACGACCGATCCCCATGGTTCATTTTAGTGGGAAGGTTGGTGAGGTGATTGTGAGAAGGGCAAAAAGGGACCAGCTCTTGCTTTAAAGAGGCTCCTTGTGCGATTTTGGATGATCTTACCTTAGCAGATTCAGTTTGTGACATGCTGATCTGGCGAGGGAGAGCCCTCAGGCAGTGTTTTTGAGGTACGCAGTCTGCTTGGCATGGCGTACGGCAATGTGTGAAGGCTCTACGCAGAGGACCCCTGTCTTAAACCGCCCAGTATTTTCCCTCTGAAGGAGAAAATCCCAGAGGAGAAAGTAATTAAAGCTAAGAGTCTAATGTTACAAGGTCAAAGAATGTTACTATGTTCTGATGCTTCCTTTTTGTAGGAATGTGAGTGAAGAAGCATATGGGGATGACATGAGAAGGAGAGCAGAGCAAGGCCAAGGTTAGACTAAAGGATGTGTAACACCAGCAGGAATCAAGAGGACAAAAGTGGAATCAGGAGTAGTGTTAGGTTACTTAAAAATAGAATCTTAATAAGTAAGTAAGAAAATAAATAAATAAATAAAAAGGGGATGCCTGGCTGGCTCACTCAATAGAGTGTGCGACTCTTGATCTCTGAGTTGTGAGTTTGAGCCCCAAGTTGGGTGTAGAGATTACTTAAAAATCTTAAATAATAAGTAAATATAAAGGAGTAGTGTTAGGTTTATTTTTTACTTAGTTTGAGTCAGAAAAAGAATCCGGAACATGAAGTTACCTTTTGTCTGAAATGGATGTCTTTCTTTGGCCAGTTTCACTAATATGTAGATCTTTGGCTTTTGCCACAATTTTACCTATAGGTTTTATAATGATGAATCTCATAAAATTATCTATTGGCACCATCAACAGTGGATATTTGTTTAGCACCACATGAAACTGCTTTGTGTGTTAAGTTTGGTTTTCCAAACAGGGCTTGTCTTTGACTCCATCTGTCAGTGATGCAGAGCTCTCATGCACACGCTCCTTGGACTGGGGTCTTTGTCTACACCCAGTCTTCATGCTGAAGTAATTTTATTACAAATTCAACAGTGCAGCACGTGCTGCATTAACAAAAAGTGTGTCCAGGTTTTAAGGTATGCAATTGGATCTTAATGGTGCATTAGAACCACATATTGCTGAGTCCTTTAAAAAGAGGGAATTATGCCAGTGTTAAACAGATGAACACCAGTTCTCTAAAAATTAAAGCGTGGCAAGTATCCTGACCCGGTAGGGAGGTAAGGTTCTAGCACTGAGCTCATGGTGTGACGTTGGTCACCTGCAAGAATTAAATAACTACTGTAGCATACGATCACTGTGGTGGAAAGAGGGAAAGGCAAGATCTCTGGTAGACATGAAAGCCTCAATTATGACCATGGGTTGTAATTTAATATTAGACAGTCTCAGGGTTTTATGATACCGGAGGGACATCTATTCAGTTTTTCCATGAATAAACATTAAGGGATTGTGCAGCCATGAATATTGTTTTCTGTTGGTGTATTGCCAGGAATAGATGCTTAGAATTTCGGAGAAGCTGATTTATATTAAAACTGAGAACAGTAGTTCTGTGTACAAATAATGGGACCATAGTGCTTTTTCTTATTTTATGGCTGTGTATTCTAAAAGGGTTGGAAGTTAGAACCAAGTTTCTGTTCATAAACTGCTTGGTCCTGGTGCCAGTTGCACACCTTCTAATGCTGCTCGTCTGTGTTATCACCATTGCACAGGGAGGACTATGTAGCTTCATCTTACATGGCACATCGGGAAGAACACTGACCCTAAGAGATGTCTGAGGCCTAACGTCCGCTCAGCTGAAACTGAGGCCTGTCAGGTTCTCAAGTATAAATGAGGAGTTAGGTAGGAAAGCAGAGAGCCTTAAAGATCTTTTTTATCTGTCAGATTCTGTCATCCACACTAGCAAAGTGAATATCCTGGTTAAGAGTTCTCCAAAGCATTTGTATTTTGAGTCATTTGTATGGAGAACTTAAGTCAGAATCCCACTTAATATGGACATTCACTGGCTTAAGATACATGCATTATTTCCCTCTTGTTTTGTTCATTTTAATCATATCAGATTAAGTGTAGGTATAAAGCAATCAGCTCTGCTTTGATTTTCAAGTAATTTCCATATGTTCGGCTTCCCAGGTTCCAAAACTTAACTTCAACTTGCGAGGAAGAGGTTAGTGGAGGAGGTGAAATCATGGCCATCAGTAAAATGAAGGATAGCTCTTTACTTTTCGCCCTTGACTACATTTCTCATCTACAATCAAAATTGATAACTATGCAACATCACCCAGATATTAGTGGTCATTGTATGTGTAAGAGAAGTAACTTCTTTCCTGTTTTTGTGATTTCACAGGATTGGATTTCCCATATTGGCACATAATTGCAAATACAATTCACTTGTAAAATTTTCCAGTTTCTTGTGAAATTCCGTTTGTAGGTTTTGTTTCTTGGCCTTGGCTGCCTCTGGTGAATTTTTATATGAAAATGAAAAGAGCTTGTCCCTTTAGCTATTCTCTTATGGCATGCTGGGATGTTATGAACCATCCATCATAATTTGGGATGAAATGTAAAATATTTAAGCTAGTCTTCTGGGTTAAGAGGGGGCAAAAGATGGTTATCCTGACATCGAAGTCTGAACCGACATTGTGTTCTTTAACTAGAACCATAATTAGGCTGATTTGTCTTATCTTTATGTTGACCAAATTTGTTTCCCTTTTGATGTAACTTCACAGAACTTATGCTAATATACCCTTTACATCTTCCCCTCTCATTCCTGTTCTCCTTCAGTCTGCTAGGTCAAAGTATAAGGACTCTCAAGAATGCAGAGTATTTATAAAAATTCCAGCTTAAAAAACTTCAGAGGAGAACTTCTATGGCATTGACTTTGGGCTAAGGCTGTCTTCTGATAACAGGACAGGGAGAGCTGGCTAGTGACCGTGCAGTTGCGTAGCCGGAGAATCACAGAAGACTCTTTTCTAAGACGGGAAATACACAAGAATACTTTCTGTCCTTTCACCTTTGGAATAACCATTGCCATAGGTGGAAAGGAGATTCTTGTCTTTAATGTGTGCTCAAACAGTACTTTGTTGTAATGCGTGTGTGAACATGATATGCAATGCCTTCAAGTGGAAAGCTTTTTGAAAATTAGAAACAGGCGTTCCTGGTGTAAGTATAAAAACAACTATACAAATTAAGTATAGTTAGGAACCTAAACATGTTCTCTATAGTTAATATCCATCTTGAATATATCTTAGAAAAATCAACCTAGTATATAAAGTTGGATGGCTTTGCTTCTCTACCTCTGTTGTAACCCATTTTTCTGGAAAATGTTCCACTTCTACTTAAAGATAGAGGACAAATCATTTTCTGTTCACTTATGTACATACATGCTCAATCATGTTGATTGAATGTTGAGTGTATTTACTCAATAAATATGCCAGACCCTCTGTAGACAGTGGCAAGCAAAATCAGACATGATTCCTGCTCTCACGGGTTTGCAGTCTGGTGGGTGAGACAGACAAATTAAACAGTCACATAAATGAAAATCATAGCAATGATGGAATCATGTATGTTACTGAGATCACTTAACACTGGGGGAGCCTGTCATGAGAGTGTTCAGAATAAGACCTGCAGATATGAAATCAAAGGTGTGAGGTGGGTAGTAGAGTTCAGGGAGGACTCCACGCAGGGGACAAGTATGTGCGGTGACTCTGTAATGGTGAGGCATTGAAAGTGAGCACGTGTGGCTGGAATACCATTAAGAGACAAAGGTGGTCTGTATGGTGCTGACTTGGGAAGTGAAGCAGTCTGTTTGGTACCGTATGCCAAATTCTTAGTCTTTAAACTCTGTCACAGTAGCTGATTTTTGAGAGTCTTGTTTGTAATCCTTTTTGGAAGACTTTTCATTTTTTAATTTTTATGCAACAAAGCTTTAACCCTCTGTTTCTTAGCATTTCCTTCCCTACCTTTGGAGCAGACTGAAAGGGAAGTAGACTTCATTTGATCTGATTCAGTGTTTTACTTACAGTTATTTTTGTTATGCTTTTCATTCACATTTCATTTATGTTCTTAAAGTTTTATTAACATGTTTTTCTGTGGTGTATTTTGTCTGTTTTCAGTATTTTTTTCATTACTTTGAGTTGAAATCCCACAAATCCACTCCATCTTTCCATTTCTCTTTGTTCTAATGTAGATTCAGAACAGGAAAAGAAGCAGACAGGCATATGTGTCACGTTCAGTTATGTTTGATTTCTTGGTGCAAATGTTTACTCTTTGTCTTGCCTTGTGTTCAAAGATCAGCATATACCCAGTGGGAAGACAAGAGTAACAGTCGGAACTAGATTCTGTATCACATCCACTAATTGGAATGAACATACCTAAGCTTTGTGATCACCTTTTTATTGTTAAAAAAAAAAATTAATAGATACAAAATAATGAAAGAAGTAAAAAGAGTACAAATGTGATGGGAGTCTGCTAGTTTGTTTGAAATAGACGATATTAGGTCTATAACTTCCCTTTTGTGTTTCCATTTCTGAGTTAAGTTTTGGACTCCAGGAACAAAAGCAGTCCTTTAGGGATGAGCTGTCTTTTTCTCCCTGGATATTTGTCTCCGTGTCCAGCCAGAGTCTCCTATAAGCTTGTTACTCAGAAACTTCTGGCTACAAAACCTCTCTGCTCGTATGTGTCAGTCACTTGCCTGAAAATAATAGTCATTTCCTAGAGCATTTCCATAATGCTGTGACTTGAAATCTATTTTAGAGTTATTAACTGTATTTCAGGCACATCTCCTGCCTTTTTTGTCTCCTGATTTCTGTTTTATCTCTTGGCAGAAATAAAACGCCATTATGTTAAAAGGTTAAGTTCTTTAGTGGGTTCCCTTTTCTCCACCCTTAGCAGTATCCATAGGACAGTCATCTTTAAAGTCTATTTCCAATTGTTACTCTTCTATCTACACTAGTCATTTTGTTTTTTAACTGGTTATTTTTATAGAGAGTAATTTGGTGTAAGTAGGTCTTTGTCGACTGCTTTACCAAGCATTTGCATTTCTTTCTGTATTGTCTCTGCCAAAAAAGCAACAGGAAGCAGTCTGGTAGTGCAGAACAGAAAGGTGGCCTTAAGACAGGGCCCAGAAACCCTGAAGGTATTCTCTGGAAATCTGAAAGCCAGCTTCTCTGTCTGCGGGGTGCTCAGATGTTTGTCTCCCGGTTTCTGTCTCTAGGGCATTTGTTTACCTGAGCAACCTGCTGTATCCTGTGCCCCTGATTCATAGGGTGGCCATTGTCAGTGAGAAAGGTGAAGTGCGGGGATTTCTACGTGTGGCTGTGCAGGCCATTGCAGGTAGGTGACCCTCTTCCGGGTGAGAGCTTTGGATTCTTTGCCTAGAGACAAAGCAGGCCAGTTCTTTTGCATGATGGCTTGTCTGTCGTGGAGAAAGCTTTTATTGCTTCCTTTTAGTTATTATTCCCCAGTATCATAAATAGATTCTGTTTAGTCTGGGCCACAGCTATTTTGGAGTAATGGGATGAAGGGATTTCCTTTAACATAAAGAACAACTCTTACGGAAGTCATTTATAAAACTGCTTCAGAAGTAACAAAAGATATTCAGGACTTTTTCTTGCTTAATTTTCTCTCATGGAACTTGTACCAGACATTTCTGTCCTTTACTGTTTTGTTGTTTATGGATCAAGATTCTGATATTTTACACTTCTCCATGATCCAGCCTACATTCTGAGGAAAGAATGTGGCCATTTCCTATAATTTTTCTCTTTTAATTTCCAAATGCCATACGGTATGGAGTGACCTTTCAGCTGTTCCCTGTGGAAATCTGTGGCACGATCACCAGGGTTGAGTTTATGGAAGTTTGTGCAAGTACAGTCGAGTACCTTCAAATATTTGTTGGGTGGTATTGAGCATCATCTTGCCAAGTGAGGATCAGTGTTTCTAGGTATACATTTGAACAATAGCAAGAATAAAACCAATTTTTTATTAACTAGTCTCATTTGAGCTAAGCAGGTTGGTAAATATACCTGAGTAGAGTTGGGAGCAGCCCCTGTGACTTTGCTGCTTCTGGCTTTTCCTTTCTGAAGCAAAAGATTGTTCTTTAGCATCTCCTTTTACTAAAGTCCTCGAACCGGAACACTCCGCTACTTTCCTGTTTATCTCATAATCCAACAAGAGCCATTCATCTGGCCCATATGTAGTCTCAATTGATCCTTCTCTTTTTTGTTGTTGTTTTCTACTTAGCGGATGAAGAAGCTCCTGATTATGGTTCCGGAATTCGACAATCAGGAACAGCTAAAATATCTTTTGATAACGAGTACTTTAATCAGGTGAGAAGCCTTACAGGGAGAGAAAAACTCATAGAAGGAGAAAGTAGAAGACAGGTTTATAAGGAGGACGTTCACTAGGAAACAATTCTTCTACCTAGAACTACAAAAGACAGATAACTACGGGCTCGTTCCATAGAACACAGGGCATATCTAACAATTACAGAGGTAAAGGTCCTTACTTATATTTTATTGTATTGCCTTTTCTCGGGCAGCTCTTAATCCACATAATTTTCCAGTCACTGTTGCTTGTTGGGCAAATAGACATTAAGTAAGGAGATTGAGGGAAATAAGCTGTTGTGCTACTTGATCATCTACCTGTTCCTGCCTTGTTTTCAGAATGACTTTTCTTCAGTTGCAATGACTCGTTCTGGTCTATCCTTGGAGGAACTGAGGATTGTGGAAGGACAGGGTCAGAGTTCTGAGGTCATCACTCCTCCAGAAGAAATCAATCGAATGAATGACTTGGGTACGTAAACAGAGTTTACTGTGACTGGGGAGACTGGGGACATTCTCAAAGAGGGCAAAATATTGACCACCGTCAAGGGAGATAGTTGCTTTCATCGACTAGGAATGGAAAGAATGCCCTCCTCTCTCCTCTTTGAAAGGTGTTCTGTGCCATATTTGAACCATATGTGTGTTCATTTGACCCTCTTTAGATTTGAAGTCAGGCACTTTGCTGGATGGTAAGATGGTCATGGAAGGGTTTTCTGAAGAGATCGGCAACCACCTGAAACTGGGCAGTGCCTTCACTTTCCGAGTAACTGTGCTACAGGCCAGTGGGATCCTCCCCGAGTATGCAGATATCTTCTGTCAGTTCAAGTAAGCCCACCTCTGCCTGCCTACCTAGCTGTTGACCCAGGTGACATCCTTTGTGCACCACCCAGTGCTTTATTTATCATATGTGAGGTGTTAACACTCTCAAGAGGGAAACTACTACCAGTTTCCGAAATAAAACAGCTTTCTTCACTCCAGGGGGGAATAAGAACCAGAAACCTAAAATGGTATGAAATAGAATTTGCTGTGGGGAGGAGTGTGACCATGTATCCTGCTAAGAGGTTTATATAGGGAGTAATTTGGTGTAAGTTGGTCTTTGTCAACTGCTTTACCAAGCATTTGCATTTCTTTCTGTATTGTCTCTGCCGAAAAAGCAACAGGAAGCAGTCTAGTATTGCCATTTTGACCACACAGATATTTCAGGAGTATCTTCTGTATCTGGACACTGTGGCCTGTCCTCCTCTGCTGGAAATATAGGATCGGATGTAGATAAGCCTGTTTATTCATCTTTTTAATGCTCTTCATGGGGAAATATCTTACTAATAAACAAGTCTGAAGGCCATGAATTATCCAGCTACCAATTGTGCCTATTCAATACTTGGGGGGGAAAAAAAACAAATTAGAGTAAAATTCCACGTCAACTGAAGAATAGTATGTAGAAAAGATATGACAGGTTTCATTCCTTAGCCACTTACAAGCTCTTTCTATCCTATAACCCTCTGGAACTTTGGAGTTTTTCTTCTCATGACCCCCCCCTTGGAAAACACTTTTATTGACAGTCTTAAGTTTTAATACCTCCAGACATCAGTGGATCTCTTTAGTACTTATGAAGGGCCACAGTACAAGAGAGTGCTGTCTCACGAGCCTCCTTCCTGAAGTCTGCAGTTGGCCCCTGGCGCCACCAGGAGGTTGCTCTAGAGTTCTGCCATCCCTCTCAGAATGTGCCTCTCTGCCTTCTAGGGGTCCTAATACAGTTGACAAAGCACTGCCTTTATGGAGATTTTAGCCAAGTCCCGAATCAAATGTGATTACTGCATAGTAAGCCAATAATATAATTTGCTATGACTCACAGTTGTTGTTGAAGTATTATCTATCCAGTGTTGATTTTGCCCATTCAGTGTGTTTTCACTAGCAGCCCTAAGTTAACGTTGGGGGATGGAGTTGGCTAGATGATCCAGTTGCTTTGAGCTTTCATTATTATACCAGTTAGGCAACTGAAATATTTTTTTAAAGATTTTATTTATTTGAGAGGGCGCCTGAGTGGCTCAGTTGGTTAAGCGACTGCCTTCGGCTCAGGTCATGATCCCGGAGTCCCGGGATCGAGTCCCGCATCGGGCTCCCTGCTC